ACCAAAAAAAAGAAAAAAGAAAGAAAGTCTAAATATGATGATGCTACCCAGCAAGGTAAATGTGATGGGTCGCAACATACACTCCAGAAAAATTAGTTGGAAAACACTGTGTTGTGTTTCTTTCACCCCATTACAAGCTGGTGGTGTGAGCTCTGTCAGGTGTCCCTGGAGTCTCACTGTCCTCCCTCCCTTTCCCCAGCTCCGCCCCGGGTCTCAGCCGCAGCTCAGCTCCTGTGAGCAGGTGCAGCCCAGTGCCTTGTGCCAGGAGCACTTGAGAGGTAGCAGTCTTCCCATGCCCAGCTTCCTTCCAGAAGCTGGGAGAGGGATGAAAGTCTAAGCTGATGACAATGCTGGGCATTGTCACAAAAGTGGCTTCTAAGAGCAAACTGGATGCGGCCCGGTTTCCTGGAGACATAGAGATGCTCCAGAAGCCATTGGAGACTGCACATGGGAGCTGGATCCCGGTGAGGACCAGGGCTGAGACCCAGGGCAGCTCCCACCCAGGCTTCCACTCACCTTGTGCTGATGGTGGGCGTGGCTGTGATGGCTTAGGGCCTCTTCTGGGCCAGTCAGGGTGCATTGCCTTGGGCTGGCTCACAGCCCCACCCTCCTCTTTAAGGGGTGATACTAGGGTTTGAACTCATAGCCTCACTCCTGAGCCATGTCCCTAACCCTTTTTGCGTTTATTATCTTTTGGATAGAGTCTTACTTTTTGCTCGAGCTGGACTCAGAGTGGGCCTCAAACTGCAATCCTCCTGCATAGCTTGTGCCATAGGTAATATATGACCACAGCCAGCTGGGATTATAGACATGAACAACCATGCCTGGCAGTGTGGCCATCTTTCACTATCACATGCCTAATGCATAATGAAAATTTAGCAAATATATGTTGAATAAAATAAAAAAGCTCCTTCTTAAAATGACAGTGTGTTGGGGCTGAGAAGGTGGCTCAGTGGTAGAGTGCTTGCCTTGCATGCCTGTGGCCTTGGGTTCGATTCCTCAGCACCACATAAGCAAAAAAAATTAAAAAAAATGTTTAAAATGACAGTGTGTTAACATTCCATTACTATAACTAATACCTGCAACATCCAGTTATAAATGGGAAAGGTTTGTTTTGGCACATAGCTTTAGAGGTTTCACCCATGATCAGTTGGACTGGTAGGAAAACATTCTAGATTCAAATTAATGCCAGAAAATGTTGGGTCTAGGGCTGGCATTGAATCAATCAGCTCTATTCTTTCTGGAAGGCACTGCATATAGTATTCAGCCCTTATGGATCCCAGTGTTATATGCTGTGTGCTTTTTATCTCCTGGGTTTTCAAAAAAGGTTCTACATGGGTGTTCCTAGCTTTCTAGTCTGACTTGGAGGTTTTGAAATAGAATGAAATATAGCCTTACCCCCTCCCCCGCCCAAATATTGCTAGTATATACTTGCTTCTTTGTTCTTCTCTAACTGGCTATAACTGTATTGTTTTATGGGAGAAAACAAACCAGAGTGTATTGTTTTGTTTTGTTTTATTACCAATTCCCACAAGTCGGCGTGAGTCCTCATTTCTTTTATAACCTCTCCTTGCCAAGATAGTGCCCAACCAGTGATGCGGGCAGAGGGGTTAGAGGCTTGCATGATTACCTCTAGAAAGTTCATTGTGACAAGGGTGCTTCCAGGCACCGTGATGCATGCCTGCAATCCCAGCTACTCACAGGCAGGAGCAGGAGGATCACAGGGTCAAGGGCAGCTCAGGAAAATTAGCAAGAACCCTGTTTCTAAAAACATGAGGCCAGGGGGTGAAGCCCCAGTGATAGAGCCTGTGTTTATATGTGAGGCCTTGGCTTCCACCCAGCACTGCCCGCCACCCAAAACAAAACAAAGCAAAAAGACAAAGGAATTGAGTGTTTCCTTGATTATTGAAGCAAATCATGTATCTTTTTTGGAAGAAGGAGAAGTGTAGACTAGAGTTAATGCCTATTGGGTCCTTAAAATCTGGTTAAGATTATTGAATTTTCAGACTTCAGACTCACTGGGCCTAGGTGTACTGTCAAGCAGGGTATCTCTCTTTTGCCCTGACCAGTTTGGACCTCAATCCTCCTGTTTGCACTTCCTGTGTAGCTGGAAGGATTAACTCACACCACCACAGCCAGTTTTTTCTTGGTTGAAATGGAGTCTGAGCTAACTTTTTTTTGCATGGGATGTCCACACACCTCAGTCCTTCTGTTCTGCACCTCCCCAGTAGCTAGGGTTACACACGTGAGCCGCTGTGCCTGGCTGTGCACTCTTGAGGATGACACAACACACTCTGCTAATGAGCAGGCTCCACCCAGCGGGCTAGGCGCCTCCCTCTCTGTCCCACTAAAAGCAGAGCCAACAGGAGCAGCCAGCCCTCCACACTGCCCGGTACCTCGCCAGGAACCAGCACACTCCTGCCTGCCGGCCAAGTATGGTTTTTACATTCTTAAAAGGTCACCGAAAGTACGAGACAGCAACCATATGTGGCCTAGAAAACTCCTTTTTAAACACTTATTGTCTGGCCCCTTTACAGAAAAAGTTTGACAAGTTCTGCTCTGCAGTTAGAGATAAAATGTTCACAGCTTTCCTGCAGCCCGTGTCCTTGATAAGAAGCAGTTGTAGGAAGGCAGAGACCCTGGTGGGTTTGTATTTTGTGTTCAGTGAACCAAGGTAGAGTACATTTCCCAGAAGTCCCTTCCTAGTGCAGTTCGGGGTCAGTGGGGACCACGGGAGGCACTGGCAGTGAGATCAGGAGCGTGTGCAGGAGGCGGCCATCATCCTCTTCCTGTACAGTCAAGGTCAAAGGGAGGATCACTGTCCGAGAATTCACCTTCTGGCACCGGCCAGCCACCAGTTTGAGCTCCTTCTGCGGCCCCTCTCAGCTTCCCAGGCTCCCGAGCCAAGCAGGGTGTGTGGCTCCCACAGGCCTGGGTCTTCTTAACTGCTCTGTCTCCTGGACCAGAAGCTCCATGATGTCCAGTAGCTCCATGATGTCCTCTGTAGCTCCACTGCAGAGCAGCATGGGCGTCGGGGTAGGGGATGACCAGAGGATGACCAGGGGATCCAGAGCACCCTTCCCGGCTCAGTACCTCCTGGCTTGCCTCCATGCCACTTTCTTCCCGATCGCCTGGCCTGCCATGCTGAAAAGCACGCACCTAATGCAGGTGATCTCCCCAGTGCCCAGGCTTGTGTGAGGACCAGTCCCCCGGCCCCTGGCACAAACCCAGGGTGGAGCACCAAGCCCCACAGCCCCAGCTTCACTGACTAAAAACACGAAAATACCTCAAGTAAAGTCAGGTAGGACTTCAGAAGCTTAGCTGTCTAGCTAAGAGAGAGAGAGGTGAGAGAGAAAATAAGAACCCATTCCTACAGGACACTTGTAAAGTTTGGAGGCGATAAAATATATACAAATTAAATATATATATAATACAATGTCAAATTTTCAATCTATCAAAAATAAAATAATAGTAAAAAGTATATTCTGTGTTTGCAGATATACCATATAGACCATATAGATGCATATATCCTCTCTATGTGTGTGTTTATACACACATTACATGTATGTCATATATACATACAGACATATACAAAATACACCCGTATATATTTGGTCGTATTGCAGTTGAACTCAAAGCATTGTACTTGCTAGGCAGGTGCTCTACCACCTGAATCCTGACTCTGGTTCTTTCTGCCTTCATTATTTGCCAAATAGGGTTTTGAGTATTATGCCTGAACTGTGATTCACCTATTTACCTTTTCTACATGTATGTAGGATGATAGGCATGTGCCACCATATCAGCTATTGAGTGAAATGGAGTCTCATGTTTATGCCTGGGCTGGCCTCAAACTACAGTCCTCCCAAGTTCTGCCTTCCCAGTAGTTAAGGTGGCAGTCATGAACTACCAGCATCTGATCCCCAGGGTTAGATAGATGGGGGTGGGGGGTTGTTTGTTTTGTGTTTTGGTTTTTTTGGGGGGAGGCAGTCCTGGGCTTGAACTCAGGGCCTAGGCACTGTCCCTGAGCTTCTTTTGCTCAAGGCTAGCACTCTACCACATGAGCCACAGCACCACTTCCTGCTCTTTCTGTTTATGTGGTACTGAGGAGTCAAACCCAGGGCTTCATGCATGTTAGACAGCACTGTACCATTAAACCACATTCCCTGCCCCTGTGTGTGTGTGTGTGTGTGTGCGTGTGTGTGTGTGTGTGTGTTGGCTCTGGGGCTTGAAATCAGGACCTAGGTACTGTCCCTGAGCCATTTTATGCTCAAGGCTAGCGCTCTACCACTTGGGCCACAGAATCACTTGCAGTTTCTGAATGGTTAACTGGAGATAGGAGTCTCATGGCTTCGAACCACGATCCCCAGATCTCAGCCACCTGAGTACCTAGGATTACAGATGTGAGCCCAGCTCAAGGGATGTTTTTTGTTGTTGTTGTTTGTTTGTTTATTGTCGGTCATGGGGCTTGAACTCTGGGCTTGGGTGCTGTCCCTCGGCTCTTCAGCTCAAGGTGAGCACTCTACCGCTTGAGCTACAGCACCACTTTCAGTTTTCTGGTGGTTTATTGGAGACAAGAGTCTCATGGTCTTTCCTCCCCTGGGCTGGCTTTGAACCGTGATCCTCAGATCTCAGCCTCCTGAGTAGCTAGGATTACAGGCGTGAGCCACCAGTGCCCGGCCAAGGGATGTTTTTTAAAACCTAGGAAATCTGCAGAACTAAAAAAATCTTACCCACACAGAACTGTATAAGTGTGTGCCTAGAAGCACTGAGCCAGCCACATCTCTGCAGTTAGAATCTGGAAGACTTTGAAACTTAGCTTCCTTTTTTCTAGCTGGAGGAAAGTGACACAAGTCAAAGAACTTAAATAGGCATGCAAATGCGCAGGTACATTTTCTGAAACTAGTCTGGAGGCATTGTTCTCTGAACATAAATGAGATAGAACAAAGACCTCGGGGCAAACAAGTTGTCTTTTTGTCATTGACTGAGAACTCTGTTATCAGCGTACCTTGGACAAGAAGACCCCAGCAGTCGGGACATCAACCGGCCACCCGGAACCCAGGACCCCAGGGCTGGCTGGGAGCTGATGCCTGCAGCCAGTGCTGTGGTGAGAGCCGGGAACCTTCATCCCCCAGCGAGCTCTAATGGCATGCACAGGAGGAAGGGCACAGCTCCTACGTCCGCCTCTCCCTTGGCTTCCCTGTAGACCTCCCCGAGCAGAACTGGGGGACCCCTTCATGCACACAGAAATGGGAGGCCTTGCTCTCTCTCTCTTGTCCCTCCTCCCACGTCATGTCATTGTCATCTGCAGAAAACCTGGAAAAGGTCAGCCTCGCTAGCTCTGTTTACAGATGTAGCAGAATCCTCATTTATCATCCCAGGTCTCCTGGAGGAAGACTTCAGAGTTTGGAGCCCACAGGGGGTTTGCTCTGCTGATCTTCTATCCTTTTTACCCCAGTGAGGACCACAGGAGAAATGGTGTCTGGCCCTTAGCTATAAACTATGATCCTCCAGTTCTCAGCTTCCTAAGTAACCAGGATCACAGACACGAGCCACTAGCACCCAGAATTACTTTTGAAACCTCATTTTAGTTGACTTGTTAAAATCTGTTATAGCAATAAACTGTGTATGTATGTATGTTTTGTGTGTTTACTGGTCCTGGGGCTTGAACTGAGGGCCTGGGTGCCATCCCTGAACCTTTGTGTTCAAGGCTAGTACTCTACCCCTTGAGCCACAGCTTTATTACTAGCTCTTGGGGGGCTTGACTGGAGATAAGAGTCTCATGGACTTTCCTGCCCAGGCTAACTTTGAAACACGATCATGAGATCTCAGCCTCCTCAGTAGCTAGGATTCCAGGTATGAACCACCAACACCCAACAAAATAAGGATATAAAATAATAAAATCAGTGTATACTAAAGTTAGTAAGGCATAATATAAACATTACAATTCATCCCGTCACCCAGTGATACACTCACACAGACACACATGTAGATACACCCACTAAACACCATACACACGTCCACAGGAAGAGTTGGCTTGGGCTACATGTATCCAAGAATATGAACTTAGTTAATACTGATCCTACCCTGTAGGAATTATGCTATGTGGCAATTTCTTAACCCCACTAAGCCAAAGTTTCCCTTGTGAGGAAAGCTGTCTTTTCTATCAAAGTGGTTTCCTTAAAATTTCCTGCTTTGGCCTGGTGGCTTGGCTCTTGTTGATTAATCTGTTAAGACAACATTAGAAAGGAAAAGCACAGAAAGGAAAAGAGAAGTTGCATTGGGATAAGGAAGGGTTTTTGAAATGTAAGATTTTGTCTTAATTGGTTTTTCCAAGATGAAATTAAGACACACTACATATTGTTCTAGAAATAGCTGAGAGTATGGGTATGTTTTGAGATTACTTGTGTACTATTATTCAGAGTCTTTTAATGGTCACCTTATGTAAATATATCTTCCTCTATTCAAGCAAGCTAGTCAATCGTGAGCAGATTGTGAATCTGAGCTCAACCAATCTGAGCAGAGGGGCGGGGCCTGCTGCCTTAGGAATAAATTGTTATAACAGCCCTAACTATAAAATGGAGTAAAGTAGAATACTTAGCTCAGAGGTGGTGAAAAAAATTAAACAAAAGTATACAAAGGCTTATCATAGTGTCTGACACACAGTGAACAGTTAACAAGTTGATGTATGACTTTCTCTAGTCACTTTACAAAAACATAACTTGAAGCCAGGCATCAGTGCTCATGCCTGTAATCCTAGCTACTCAGGAGGCTGAGATCTGAGGATCCTGACTCAAAACCAGCCCCGGCAGAAAAGTCCATGAGACTGTCATCTCCAGTTAACCAGCAAAAAGGTGGAAATGGAGATGTAGCTCAAGTGATAAAGCACCATCCTTGAGCAACAGTGCCAAGCAAGAATGCAAGGCCCTGAGTTTATGCCCCAATACCAGCCCAATCAAAACAAAACAGAAATCATAACTTAGCGATCTATATGATGGTTTTGGAGAACTACCTTTCTCCTCCTTTTTATCCCTGCCTTGGTGGGGATTTGCATATATTTGAACTCTTTGCACAAAGTTAGAGTCCTGATCCTACAATTACAGTCATCGTTCGGATCATGTTTCTGCACATTTATAGTTAGGTGCCAGCACTTTATACACGCCAGCTCACAGCACTGCTCGCAGGTGATTATGATTATCCTCAATTAGGGATGACAGGATCCAGCTGATAAAGGAACTGAGATTTCATCTCAGGTCTCCCTGCCCCCAAGTCCTTGTCTCTTCCTCCCGACCAGCCCAGGGCCCATGAGGGCATTGGGATCAATCTGGAAGCAGCTTCTTTGCTAGATTCCAGCTGCCCCAAGAGCAAACCGCAAAGAAAGTAGACTAGAAATCTTTCCCATTCCTCCCCCATGGGGAAAAGTGATAGTCAGATAATCATGAGAATATGAGCAATACAATTGAAATTTAAAAGAGTATAGAAGCCTTTCATTACTAATGCTTTCATGCCACTTACTAACACTTTTATTGTTAACTACTAAGTATTTTTAATAGCAATACCACTTGCCTTTTTTTAACCATCACGGCTATTTTTAATCATATTTTCTCACCATTCCAGTAACTCAGGCCACTCCCGTCCCCCTAATAATGAACAGCTTTCTCCCCACTCACTCCCCTCCTTCCTCCCTCACCAGCCACCCAGGTCTTCATCACATTTTGTTGCTACCCTGACTCCTCTGGACATCACCTACAATGCTGTCGTTTGAAATTCGAGTTTCCGGGTGTAAACCAGAGAGCAATGCCAGGTTACAATTGTTCCTTCATATCGTCTCCTTTCTCCCTGTACACATTCTCCCCTAGCATGAAACTATCAACGGATTAGTCCTCCATCCCTTGGGTAGTGTGTACCTCATGATGGTATGGCAGAGTTGGTACACAGTGTGGCTTTTAAAACTTGACACAGCTCTGAGGCTGGGAAAGGAAGTTGATGTTTACACTGTGAGAATATTGTTCAAGGTTTTATCTGGTCTTTGCTTTTCCCAACTCAGAGCCTCTCCAGGTGATGAGGGGTAACCACAGACCAGATTGTACATCTGAGGTTGGATCCTAGACTTGCTTTTCTGGAGGAATTTCTTGGAAGGGGAGAGATGGAGTAATTAGAAGTAGGAATGTGACCCCAGGGGTCACATGGAGGAATTGGGGAGCTTCACATGACCTGCTCCATGTTTGCTTAGCGTGGTTCATTGACTTGGAAAGAGGAATCATTTTGACATATCACCATCAGAGAGCAAGTGGAGGTGAAGCATTCAACAGAGTGGTAATTCTCTTGGGAAGGGAAGAAGGGGTCAAAGGGGTTGAACTTAATGATGTGAAAAGAGTGATTATGGAAAGGGAATTATAAACTGAGTGAGAAAGGTTAGGCTTCAAGTCAACTGTAACAAGAATGATTAAATACCTCTCCTTGGAGGGAGATATTGTTGGTGAGAGAGAGAGAGACCGCAAGGGTATTTTCAAGGGCCTGCCACTGTTTAACAATCTGCTGTGTACTGTTGTTGTTGTTTTTCAAAAAATATTTACCTATGAATAAGTGTAAGAAGTGAGTTTTAAACAAGCCAAATGGTTAGTTCAAACTAAGATTGTTGGCTTTCACAAATTAAAAAATTCCAAGTGCGATTTGGGACTTAGCATAAAAGGTGTTCATTTTTCATCTGTAATTCAAATTTGACTGAGTCTCTCATATTTTATCTGGCAAGGTTAACCTAAAGCTGTCCAGGGAAGGGCACCAGCCATGGCCAGATGAGTTGGTAGGGGAAAAGAACCATCTCTGGGATGTGCTCAAGCTTCAAATATCCTTAGGAGTTAGCCACAGGCCCTTCACAGTAACACAGTGTCCAGAGACATGTGGCAGGGCTGGGGGTGGGTCAGGGTGGGCTGGGCCAGGCAATGGCTACAAGACCTCAGTTTGCCTGAAACAGTTTGTTGTTGTTGTTGCTGTTTACTAGTCTGGGAAATGGGGCAAAGGAGAATGGAGCAGGAGCTGGCGTGCATGATAATGCCAGGGAGGTAGAGACAATGACATGCATCTGTCATGCCCAGGTGTCATGTCTCTGTAGAGAAAATGTGGAGATCACAAGTTGGAAAACACAAGTCAGCTGCAATTGACAGGAAGCCATACTAATAGGATGTAGGTGGGGTAAGAGTTTGCATCGGGTTACTCGGAGTTCACAAATGCTGCCTGCAGATGCAGGACAATGTTACCGTGTGCTCTATAAATAATGAGATGGATTTAGGATACTTGCGGGGAGAGGCCAGTCCGTGCAAGTGAAATCAGAAACGCTTTCAAGATGGTGAGAGGAGGTGCTCTTAACACCAGTGCCTATATGAAGAAGTTTTGATCAGACAGAGCAGAAGGCCAGGTGCTAGTGGCTCACTTCTGTAATCTTAGCTGCTCAGGAGGCTGAGATCTGAGGATCCCAATTTGAAGCCAGCTAGGTCAGAGAAGTCTGTGAAACTCTTAACTCCAATTAATTAGCAAAAAAGCCAAAGGTAGAGGTGTTGCTTAATGAGCAGAGAACTAGTCTTGAGCAGAGAAAGCCAAAGAGGAGCTTGAGGCACACACACACACACACACACACACACACACACAATACACACATACACACAATGGAAAAGGCTTTACATCTGTCTATATTTAGGAAACAATGTAGTCTGTGTTCGGCTTGGTACCATTTGTGGTTTGGAACATTCATCGTGATTGGAACCTCACTAGCTGTTTCTCAGCTTCTGTTCAGTTTTCCACTTTCCTCTCACCAGCCCCAGGCTCACCAAATTTGTAACGAGCATCAACTTTATTAGTCCACAAACTATGGCATTCCCTTGTTTTAGACATAGGCCTTGGCTTTTGCCATTTCTACTTTCTGGAATCTTTTCTTTAGGGATCACCTTATTGATCATTTCTTCTGGAAACCTTCCTTAGCTTTTAAGTCTAATGAGGTGCCTCTGATGGCGTCCACCAGCTCCCTGTGCCTGCCCGTTACCAGGTAGTCATCACAGCTGCTGGTACTTTATTAGTCTTCAGTCTCTCCCTCTCCAAAGCTCATGCTGTCTGTCAGCATCTCCTCAGCACCCAGCATGACGCCTGGCTCA